CCAGTTGGTGACCCATTGGACTGTATGGGTGTCTACGCCACAGTCCCCCAGCTTCCTAATGAGAATGGGGTGAGAGACAGTGTCAAAAGCCTTCCTGAAGTCTAGGAAAACTATATCCACTGCCACCCCTGCATCCAATGATTTAGTGACCTGGTTGTAAAAGGCCACCAGGTTGGTCTGACAGGACCTGCTGCTGATGAACCCGTGCTGGTTGCCCCTGAGCATGCAGCTCCTTGCTGGCCCCTCCTGGATGTGTGCCAGAATAATTTTCTTGAACAGCTTGCCCAGGATCGAGGTAAGGCTGACTGGCCTGTAATTCCCCGGGTCCTCTTTCCTCCCCTTTGAATTTGAATTTGTGTAAATATGTTACATTCATCAGCTTCCAAGGATAAACAGATAATCTCTAAGTTTTAGAAGTTATATCAGTTCTTGCTAGTATGCGGATTCAAAGACGACCCTGAATTTAAGATGACCTGCTAATAATTAGATTCTGTAGATGAACAATGAATAGATTTCTTAGAATTTTCCATGTATAGAATCTAATTATTGGAAGGTCATCTTTAATTTATCCCCCTACCCCCACTGCTGCTAGGGGGGCAAGGTGATGGGGAAAGGTAAAACAGCTTACCCTCTGTTTATGCCTGCCCCCCTGCCAGCTTCTGGTCCCTGCTTCCCATCCTGCTTTAGTCTTGCTTTGTGCTGATAGGCTCTGTCCCCATTCTAGCCTGGGGCAGTGAACCTAGATCTGGACCAGCTCCCATAGCAGCCATGCCATGTGGATACTTGTCTTTGGCTCAAATTGCTCTATGTGTAGTTTCTGGTTAACTTTGCCAGGTTTCTCTCAGGGTTTGGGCTGCCTTGTGCCGGTCCCTCTTGACTTTAGGTTCCATCTTTCCTGAAGAAAGAACAGTCTTATATAATGCTCAGGGGGTAGTCACGTAGCTCAGTGTTTCCCAACCAGTGTGCCATGATGCAAAAGTGTGCCATCAGAAATAAACAGGTGTGCTGCAGAATTTTGCCATGGCAATGAGCTACAATAGGTATAAGGATGGGGAATGCCTTAACAGATGTGCCATGGAAAATGTTTATTAATGTAAGTGTGCCTTGGGCTGGAAAAGGTTGGGAAACATTAACTTAACTCCAGATCTCCACTTGACCAGCTGATTCTCCAGTATACCTAGCTCCAAAGAGGCCAAGCCTTAGCATCCCTGTACCCATTCACCTTGAAGGGCACAGACTCCAGCAGGACAGGTACAATCAAATTTTGTAATGCAGTTTTGCTGCTTACATTGCAAAGCATTGTTAAAACAGTCAGCTTGGTGAGAGTGTACAGAATGAGTGCAGAAAATGAATCCTCTGCTTGAAGAAGTCTTGCAATAAATATAGTTGAATTCTTATGTGACATTTCTTTTCATAGGCTACAGTTACTCAGACAAAGGACTGGTTTGCACTAGCAAAACAAAGCCAGCATGTAACACCTACAGATTCAGTTACTTGCCCTTTAGTTTCTTCTCAAATTCAAGGTGCAGAGCACTGGTCTACAAACTATCAGAGAACTGCTTCATTCACTGAGAACGTTGGCCACCCAGGTAAGTGACGGGGGCATAACTGTTTTTATTTATAGCACACACTTTCTGACATTGAAAATGTGGCCATTCTTGAATTAGAGAAGTGCTATGCTGGCTTGTTTTTGGTTTTTTGGCTGATACTACCATACCCAAAAGGGCTTGTAGGAGAAAAGAGCAAGTACATGTGCTTCCCATTCCCACAGTGGTAAACAAAAACAGTGCTTAATAAAAACACGCTACAATCTTCTCTGTAGAAGAAACCAACATGGCACAGAAAAGACCCAACACATCGGAAAATAGTAGGACCATGTCTCTCCCTAGGACCATGTCTCTCCCTAGGCCCGCAGAGCACACAGAAGGCATTCTATTTGAGAACTGCATTACTGTGGTTTTGTATCCAAAGCATGGATGTAGAGATGTAGTTCTACATGGCATTATTCTTCTGGAAACCAAAGGGGATCATCCATGTAAAATACTACTTACTTAATTATTAATGAATAAGTTATGCAGGTTGCACTAATTTATGAGTCAGGACTCGATATTAAATTTTGCTAAGCTGCAACCAGCCAGGTGGAGTTTACACAGTGCAATCTTGCGTGGTCCATATTATACTAGGCTGGACTAGGCATAGGACTGCACCCTAGGCCATGATGCCTCTTGAGTCTTTTTGTTCAGCGTGTAGAGGCTTGAAATGTCAGGGAGCTTTGATGTGTTTTGGCATAGCTAATTTTGGAAAAACTTTTCCAGAAGTTAGTGGGTCTCTGGGTGGCCCAACTCTTTTCTGATGCATTCAGCTAATTCTTGGTGAAAATTGCTGGTAGCCAAGTAGAAAGTCTTGTGCTCCATACCCACACTCATTTATTTTGGTAATGAGTGGATTTTTGTTCCAATCCATATGTTATCAGTTCTGCTTGAGAGCTTTATCTTTAAGTGTGGAGCTCTGTTTTCCATTTATATATGCTTACTACAGTACTCCATCATAAGAAATGCGTAAGCTTTTCAAGCAGAAGGCATTATATATGCACAGTATTTCTTGGAATTAACCATCAGGGACTGTAGGCAGAGGGAAAGAGAGAGAGATGGAGACAGCATAAATGTATCATTGCAACATGTCCAAGCATAGGAGTTGAGCGCTGTGGGCACTAATGCATGGTGAGGTAGCACAACTTTGGCTGGAATTCATGATACTGAAAGGTAACCTCAGGACTTATCACTACCTTTTTTTCCGCTGTTCATGACCTTATTGTGAAAAAATGGGAAGGTTTGGGGATTGTTTTCATTTCAATGATGAGAGAAGGAAAAAGTGACAGAGAAATCCATTAATCCTAGCATAGCCAGTAGTCTGAGAGTGAGGGCACTGGCTTGGGAAACAGAATGTGAGACTCAGGTTTGAGTCCATGCACCAGTTAGGATAATTCTTGGTATCTCAAATTAATGCCCTAACCATATGACAGCCTGTCTTTCTAGGTACATTCACACTGTACAGTAGAGTGTAACATAGACAACTGAGCTAGCTCTAAACCATCTACCTCAGGCCCTGGAAACAGCCTAACTGTGGTATCATGGGACTCCATGCAAGTTGATTTACCCTCCTGTATCTGAAAGTATCCCTCAGGAAAAATGCCTTCCTATCTTGGGCATCTCAACAGTGCGCTGCAGCATGCTACCTAGTCATACCCTCAGTCTCTCCAGTTGGAGGTTTTAGCTTTTTGTAAATCATTAAATATTCATTGGCCCACAAGCAAGAAGCTGATTCTATATCCTGGTAGTCAGAGCACTGGCATGGCGCATGGGATATTCAGGCTCAGCTCTCTGTTCTGCCTGATTTTCTGAACTACAGTCATAACAGATTTTTTCATGTTGTTTTTATGATTTAACAGATGAAAGATTGGATCTCCTTAGAATTTTTACCAGCACAATCAACACATGGCAATCTTGATAGCATTTCCATTGGAAAGGCTTCTCAGGTCTAGAATGGAATTAGAGGAAGACCTTTCATCTCAAACAGTCACATGCTGAGACTAGGTTCGGGTCCCTGCTCTGCCTGATTTGGATCAGGGGCTTGGACCTAAGCAAATGCCACAACCAGTGGGATGTTGACTCCTCTAGGAATGGTGGGGTTGTCTCTAATTCTACTGTGGACCTAAGAAACATCCTCAGTGGAAAGTTTGTTAAAAACAGCATGTTTTGGTTTCATAGAAAAGTTTTATGCTAGTATGATATTTGAAATATCCCATCATGATCATAGATCTTAAAAAGGGCAGTTTAAATTCTGTATTATTCTTTCTTGTTCTGAAGCACGACAGTTTATAGCTTGTGTATTGTTGAATGGCAATGGGAATTAAATACAACAGATACAAACTAGTCAGGGGGGACCAGCAGGCACCGGGGAAGTCCCTGTTCCCCCGAGCACTGCTAGGAGTGACCAGGAATAACGGTTACAAGCTGGTAGAGGGTAGATTTCGGCTAGGTATCAGGAGGTGCTACTTCACGGTCAGGGCGGCTGGGATCTGGAACCAACTTCCAAGAGAAGTGGTGCTGGCCCCTACCCTGGGGGTCTTTAAGAGGAGGTTAGATGAACACCTTGCTGGGGTCATTTGACCCCAGTACTCTTTCCTGCCATGGCAGGGGGTCGGACTAGATGATCTACTCAGGTCCCTTCCGACCCTAGAAACTATGAAACTATACTGTATAGCAGTGTTGAGTTACAACTGTTTTTTTCTTGCTTTTTGCTTAGATTCCATTTCTGGTCATGGTGCACGCAGCCTTTTTGCTCAGCTGAACAGGACTAACTTACACAGTGATAGTAGTAGCAGTTTAGGTAAGCAGTACTTACAGAGAAGCGTGCCATTTGTGTCACCTCCCATTGGGGAAAAAACCTGTTGCCCAGCTGTTTGGGAAAAGCAGAAAGAGGTATCTGGGCAAGTTAAAGACTAGACTCAGGTTTCCTGTTCACCAGACAAGAATTAACAGTGGAAGGTGGAAGCCAGCTTAATAGTATCAGGTACAGATGCACTTAACTGCCAGTTATAGGAAGGTGGCCAAAGGGAATGAGTGAAAGTGGAGCAAAAAGACCTGCTACTGCATCACCCTCCCCGTGCTTGTTCTTGAATCTAAGACAAGGGCCTTTTCCTCCTATGTTGAAACCTAAATGTGGTAGTTTCAACATGAGCATCTCTGCTGATTCCAACAGTGGCAGTATGGTGTTTTCCAACTGCTCTGCAATAATAAAATTCAAGTACATTCCACATCTCTTAGCTTAAAGACTTTTTTATGTCAGCGTGGAGAAGAGTCCTGAATCTGAAGGAGTTTGCAGCATTTTTTTCTGATTTAATGCAGGAGCGGATTCCCTGGGTGATGAATATGTACAAAAGAGTCTCTCCCTCCCTCGGAGGATGACAGCTGTAAAAGTTAGCAATGTGAGTGGGAGATCCACAAATAAAAAGGAGGAATCTTCTGTGTCCATTGCTGAAACGCCTTCTTGTACTCAGTTAAGAGTGTATCTAGACCAGAAATGGGAGAGTGAAACAGAGAAAGAAAGTAGTCAGGAAACAGCAATTTTTCAAACACTGGAAGAGTTTACATCAGCTTATATTCAATATATAGTGAGGGAATCGGTCTCCAAGCTGACTGGACAACCAGCTGCTAAGAGCAAGAGCAACGTGAACTTCAGTAAATTGTCTAAAGTCTTTATATATGAGGTAGCAAATAAAAAACTTTCTGTTGCTGACGGAGAACAACTGTCTTCCCAAATTATCACTCCATTCAAAGAGTTGGACCCCAGTGGAGATGAAATAAAATGGCGGAGTGAAGAAGTTAGTTTAAGTTCAAGTTCTGAAACTGATGGCACAGACATTAGGGCTGCCTGGTGTATTAGTCACCGAACTTACGATATTGGCAACAGAAATGAATTTGAAAGATTCAAGAAGTTCATTAAAGGAACTTTGGGGGAGAGGTACTGGTGGCTCTGGATGGACATTGAAAGACTGAAGGTCCTTAAGGACACCAGAAGGCAGCAAAGGTATTTTCCATTGTTTTTACTACTTATCTAAAAGGCTAGATAAATGTTGGTTTTGCTTATTTAGAATTAATCATCAGTTATAGATACAAGTGGTTATTGCAAACAAAGGATCTAATTCCAATGATTCCACTTTAAATGGGAGAATTCAGGAGCTATCTTGGTGAAGCAGACAAAGTTATATATATGCCAGACTTACTTGAAGTTAGAATTGGTCTTAATGTTAAAATTTTGCTTAAGAAGTTGGTTTAAAGACAAGATTCTAAAGTCACAAGCAGGGCATATAGTATGATGTGCTTCCCAAATAGATTTTATTAGGTTTAGATCTTCTATTCTAAGATAGTATAGAGTTTAACTCCATACAAAGCCAAGCTTTGTGTATAAGTGTGAGAATCTGAAAGAAATGTTTTGGCTTCTACTAGTTACACATTTTTAAAAATGTATTTGCAAAATGACAGCTGTTTGATCTGTGGGATGACTGAGTTGTGCCTAACTGTGTACAGTATATAACATGTATATGCATTTGTTTTCTTTTACCCAAGACAGCTTGATAAAATGAAAAAAATCTATCTAGTGAGCAGTGGAGATTACTTCCTTAATTCACAAGTCTTGTTCAGACTGGATCTACTCCATGGAGATCAGTGGAATATAAGGCATTTAAGAGGGATTCAGCCAGAAGTAGTGAAACCTTTACTTCTTTACTGGTAGGAATAATTGAAGATGAACTATAAAGTCACTTGATTTTTTTTGTGTGTGTGTCCTCTTTTTAATTTGACCCTAATTTGCTAGAGCTCAGGGCCAAATTCTCATCTCATTTACACTGGTTAAACCCTGAAGTTCATAGCAGTGATGTAGCGGTATTAGTCCCCTAAATTTTAGTTTCAGAGACCTGAGGATATAGCTACACTGAAAACTTCCCAAATTGAGCTCCATGGTACTGTACCTAGGCAGTTTCTATCACCTGAGCTGGCTTGTTTACAGCTACATCAGACATCTGTACACTTTACTACACTTTAGTCTAGAGTTGCATGTGGTCTAAATTTATGCAAGGCTTAAACCTAACAGTTTACTCGTTGATCTCTGTTATATAGAGGGGTCATATCAGCCTTGTAAATATGCACCCTTTCTTGCGTGTCTCTGTGGTAAAACACTCTGAGATTTTTAGGACTGAAAATGCTGTACAAGACCTTGTTGTTGGTTTTTTCGGGTTTTTTTTAGCTTCAGCTAACAAAGACTGTTGGCTCAGGATTCAGGTGAAATTGAGCTTCACATTAATTGTCATATGCCAGGGGTTGTCAACCAAGGGTACAAGTACCACTGGGGATAATTGGGAAGACCCCAGGGGGTACATGCGGGTGGGCAGGGATGGAGTGCTGCCACCCACTGCCCTGTGCTGCTGCCTCCCAGAAGCAGGGCCAGGGTGGGTGAGGGTAGCAGCGCCCCTCTGCAGGCCGCACAGGCACCACTCGGCTGGCCAGACACTGGGAAGAGGTGGAACTTGCATGTAGTGGCCACCAGCATCACCAGTCACCCCATACTGCTGCTGCTCTGTGTGGCCGCTGCCACCCCTCCACTCCGCTCTGCATCTGGCCATGTGCCACCCCTCCCCCCCCGCTCTGTGTCCAACTGCCAGGGGTACACTTATTAAAAAAGGTTGAAAACCTCTGTCATATGCTATAGGAGATAACAACATTTCTAATTTATTACCAAAGCAAAAGCACCTAAAGTCTTTTCTAACACTCTCCTGACTCCCAGTAGATTTCTGAAAACATGAATTGAGCCCTCCAGATTAGTTCATGCTGCCAAAAATCCCTTAGGGGAGTTGCATTTTGGATACCTCATACATCCATCCTTCTCTATCAGGCTTGAATGCTGCAACCCAAACTTTAATAATAAAATGAGTTTTTTTAAATTGGAGGAGAGTATAAGATTATCTTAATATTTCTCCTCTTAGGTCTGTATCTGCCTTTGGCTGTTAACAGCATAAGATCGTGATGTGGTAAATGTCACAAAAAGTCACCATATATCATTAGTCAATTATTTTGTGTTTTAAGTGTGTGTGCGTGCACACGTGCACGCACACATAGACATACATGGGCTGTCAAATGATAAATGTAATTAATTGTGAGATAAAATCACAATTTAATCGTGCAGTTAAACAATAATTGAAGCCCAGTTTAGTATAAATATTTTTGGATGTACACACACATTCACAAACCCTAGACAGTTCCCAAGACCTGGCCCTCCAACTCCTGTCCCCTCCATACAATTAGCTGCTGAGTCTGCTCCCAGGACCCTGCCTGGCATGTGTGTGTGTTTGTGTCTGTGTGTGTGTTTGTGGCTGGGCAGCAGTGAGGGGGGTGGGGACGTTTTTCCCACAGCACACAGGCAAACACGCAGCAGCGAGGGGAGAGGGGCTGCTTTTCCCCCATTACCAACAACAATTAATGTGCATTAAAAAAATTAACGCAAAATCAAATTAACGTGTTAATTGCAGGCATTAATCGCGATTAATTGACAGCCTTAATGTATACACCTATACCTATATATAAATATTTATTGATATTATTTTTTTGTTTCAGGGGCCCTAGATTTTGTGTCACTCATTCATCTGAAATACAAAGTGCCTGTGCAAAGCTGAAGCTGTGGCACATGTGTCAAGAGAGACCAAGGATGGATATTGATCCTTTCCCACAAATGGTGACATTGTTGCCACTAAGAGCCAAATCTTGCATGCCAAGAATAGCATCTTCCCATCCTCAGGTAGGCATGGCAAGGGCCTGCTTCTAGAAGCGAATCCTGCCCTAGATATAAATACTTACGTTCTTACTTACCTCCTGGGAAATAATGTCAAGAGTTCAGTTGAATTCAATGAGAGAAGGATTTGGTATTTAGTATTTGGGTTAGTTTACAGAGTTAGAACTGGTAAATCCAGCGTATCTCATTGAGACAGTTACAAGTAGTAGCCAACTCTGCTTTGTGCCATAGCTCCATTTAAACAGCTATTAGTTTAAAATTCACAAGACAGTCACAGAATCTCATAAAGAAACTCAAAAGCCACTTATTTTCTGGGATTTACTCTGGGTATAATCTTATAACCTTATGTCAGATGGTAAGCAGAATAGAATCTGTCTCACTGTCTTTTCAGTAACATTTGTTTTATTCCTAATAGCCGCAATGATTGTTATCTAGAGATGGTGGCAAGGAGGAGATATCCAGGAAAGAAACTGAGGCAGAAACCTGGTTGCTCAGGGGAAAAGGAGAAGGCAGTGGGGATAAGACAGTGGCAAAGAAACATGGGGTTTGGAGGCAGAGAGGAGCTCAGGACAGGTGTTGGAGGTAGCAGTGAGCCAGAAGCAGGAGAGGGAGAAATGAGGCAGAAGTTAGAGGGGCGAGGAACAGAAATTGGAGCAGGGCCAAAACCCAACTTAGGGGTCCAAATAACAATTTTATTAAACAGACACACACTACACAGCCCCATGAAGTTATTGGTTCACACACACACGCACACACACACAAGCACTCATGATGGCAGCAGGAGAAAGAGACTCTGTGGAAGGGTTGGAGTCCAGGTAGGGAAGAGAAGCAGAGTCCAAGTCCTTGGTTGAAGAAGGGGTGGGGGGTGATAGCTACTTATCCAGGCTGGATAGGGGTCCTTGTCCAGTAGGTGTTGTCCAGAGGGGGGTCGCCGGCAGGGCCTCTGGGTGGATGGGTGGTGTGGCATGGTGCTGGTCCAGATGAAGGGGGCCTCCCAAGGAGTCAGTCTTCACTACCCCTTTTTATGGGGCAGACTACCTCTGATCTCCTATGGGGAGGGCCTGTCTAGGCAATGTCAGTCCTATTCCAGAGGGCTCCAGGTGTTCTTACTGAGCATGGGCAGCCTTGGCACAATGGTGGGTTGCCTCATCTTTTGTTTCTTGAATGCTGAGGGTAGTTCCAAGGGCTGGCTCCTTGGTCCAGGTATTGGTGTTAATGGTTCGGTCATTCAGAGGGAGCTATTTTTAGACCTACTGCCATTGTCTCTCAAGCACCCTCATTCATCCCCATTTATTCAGGAACCAAGTTACATAGGAGGGGTAGGTGTGAGTCATGGGTTACACAACCGGGCATGGGGACAGGATGGAGCCTTGACAAACAAAATGGAAACTTGACATGACTTATGCTAACTTACATATGTAGGCCTAAATCATATAGTACCAGTAAAACAGTAATATAGAACGGTAAAAATCAATATAAACATAATAATTATACAATATAAAGAAGGGGAAAAAACAAAACAAATACAACTGCTACCAAAATAAAATGCTGAAGCTTATCCTATGTCTTAGCTCACTTATACTTATCTATAGGGAATAGAGAGGGAGAGACAAAGTCAGAAATGGTTGGGAAAGGGGAGGGAATGCATTTAAAAAGAAAAAGAAAAACTGGGAGTTTTGCTACAAAAGTATGCAAGATAAAATGTGCCATCACTTTTTCCTCAGAGATCACAGAGTGCATCTCTAAGGGTGGAAACAGTTGGTTCCTTTTGCACCTTTGTGGTACCATAAACATTTTTGCAGTGATACAAAGGCCAAGCAAAGAGACGTCTATGTCCCTTGCCATACCACAAATGTGATCACAACAAAACAACAAAGGTAGTATCAATTTGTGCTGCCGTTTTGAGGGGAAAGCCAGGCAGCCCCTCCAGTGTTTGAGGGGCTCAAACCTGTGCAGGAATATGTAGGGTACATAGGACTAGGTCCCTAGAGCTTCAAGAGAACATGTTGCCCTTTGTTCATTGTCCCGCAGGATCAATAGGTGGGGCAATGTGTTTTGCCCATTGAAGTAGATCAGCTGTGCCAGTACACAGTCTGGCACAACTGATCCACTTAATTTGCTGACGTATGTTACTATCCTAAGGATGTGTCTACACATTGCCCTAAGGCGATGTTACTCCGTCTTGCTTTAGTACTTCCTTTTTGGAAGTACTAAAGCACAGCGCAGTAACCCCTGCACTGTGCCATGCACATGGCACGTGGTTAGTTATAGCCACTCTGGGTGCATCCACACATGCATGTATGTGCACTTACAGCAGCTGAAATAGAAGGGGTGCAAATTTGACCTGGGGCTTTTTGCCTCAGCGCATGTGCTCGGACATGCACTTTGTTGTGGAGCAAATTGTGCCACTTTGGGCAAAATAACCCTGCTTGGCTCTTCCTGGATCTGCAGTCAGGGGGAGCTAGAGCCCGGGGCCAACACCTGTGCTGTCCCCAGCAGTATAAAAAGCTGCCCTGTCCTGGCCCCATTGGTACAAAAAGCTGCCCTGGCAAGTAGCTTAGGGCTACTCACTCTCAGGAGCTTCTGGGGCCCAGCAGTTGGTACCTGGGGACACTACCCCTTGTGCCAGCTGGACTGCTGAAACAGCCCTGAGAGTTCCCTGCACCCTTTACCCACTGTAGCAGTCTGGCAGTGGGGCTGCTGCCTGGCTGTGACCTGCTGCGCACTTGTCAGACCCAGATGAGGTATCTGCCCCTCTGGACCAGCTACCAGTGGGCTGTGGCTACAGAGTTGGCCTTTTTTCAGCACTACTGCCGTGTGTGCCCCCTGCCCAGCCATCTGGGCAGCTGTTGCCCAGAAGATGTTCTGGGTGTGGTGGCCTGCTTTGAACTGTCAAAACATGTCCTCCTGGCCCCAGTTGGCCAGGAGGTGAGCCACAGCCAGCTGGGTCCAAGGTGCCAGCTTTGAGTAGGCAGGATCCTGCCACTGGCCTCCCTAGCAAGAATTCTGGCATTCCCTATTTGGAAACTAGCAGGGAAGGGATTGTGGGGGGCTCAGGGGACAGGAGAGGGGTGGGGCTGGGCAGGGCAGGGATCGGAGGGCTGGGTGAGCGGGTGGGGCCTGCGGGGGTCCCCCCATGGTCCCCTCCTCCAGCCCCTGACCCCTTACTTACCAGCAGTGGAGCCTGGGTCCAGCTCCCTGCTGCTGGCATGCTGCCTGCCCTGCATGGGCAGGCAGTGTGCTTCAGCACCAGGACAAGGGCCAACCACAGAGACACTGTGGCAGCCAGAGTGTCTCTGTGGAGGACCCAGACTCCAGTTGCTTCAGGTCACAGTCTGGGACCATGCCCTGCCCCGTGTTTTGTTTCTGCAGGGTTTTTTGACCCCTGGATAGCCAGGGGTTTAATTTTGTCCGCGTGCTGCAAATTTGCAATGCGGGGAACATTTTCTTGTTCCTGCACGTGCCTCTTACAGCATCTCAAAGGGTTTGAGATGCTGCAAGAGGCACATGTGGGTTCATCTGGATGTGTCCTATAAGCGCGCTGCTACAGCAATAGCTGCCGGTCACATATAGACTCATGTGATTGCTACTTTGCCATAGTGTGTCACTACGATGTGCCCTAAGGTTACTGCAGGTCATTCCTTAACAAGCTGGCCTGGCCATGTGCTCTTGTCAGTCACCTGCTGGTGGAGGAGCAATAATTCAGCTTGAAAGGGCTGTGTGTAAATGACTGTGCCATTTCTGTTTTGATTCAGGTCAAAACTTGAGACAGTCAGGACTAGGTCAAATGCAGTGTCAATTACAGCCTTGGCCAAGACCAATCAATTTGACTTGTTTGCATCTCAAACCTACATAAACCCTCAAACTTTGCACATTTTCATTAAAAAGCCCTAAATTCATTCAGATTTGCTTGAATATTTTTGAATTTTATTAAAATGTTCTGCAAACTTGCCTAGAGGTAACTGAATCCATAAAAAGCCAGAAACTAAATGAGTTTTGTAATGGCTTGGGTTTAGTCATATGCAATTTGAACAGCTCTAATTCTAAGATATCTTCAGAACATTTGACTCATTTATAAACCAGAGGGTATTCATTTATAGCCATTTATTTTTGCCATTGCCATTAGAGTTATTTTGTAAACAAATCCTAATATTGTGAGCAAATATTGAGTATAATATGCAGTAGTTGGAAGCACTGCTCTATTAATCTGCTACAACTGCGGAAAGCAGGCATGTCAAACTCATCAAGTCCCGTGGGCCAGATGAGTAACATGGGACCAGTTTTTGGGCCTGGGCCTGGGCCTGGGCCTGGACTGATCCACACACTAGATCGGGCCTGCAGACCAGCCAAGCATGTTGGATCCAGTGCATGGAGCCAGTTCAGTGTGGGTATTGCATGAAGTGTGTGCCAGAGTGGTCTCACGCACTGTGTACTGCGCACTGTGTGCACTGTGCAAATTGAATGTCAGCCCTGTGCTCTGCATGCAGCGTGTGTACCAGACATAGGACAGTGCACCATGTGTAGCATGTGGATCTAGCCTGAGACCCGTGGGCAGCACCATGGGCCAAATGATAGGGCTCCACAAGCCAGATCTGGCCCATGGGCTGCATCTTTGACACCCCTGGAATTAGAATTGAAGGGCCGTGATTATTTCAGTGGTAACTGCTTTGTTTAATATTGGTCACATCAAATGAGATATTCTCTGCTTCCTTCATTCCATTTGCAGAAATCCCACCGATTTCCTACAGTTAGAATTTTGTGCAAAGATGGAGGACAAAATATCATTCCCTCTGTTAGAAACTGAATTTTTAACAAGCTGTCATTATTAAAGGGTAATGAGAAAGCTTCAAAAGCACTCATAGAACCTAGTTTACTTATTGCGATTGCAAAAAAACCCCAGTCTGATGGAACAATAAATTTCAGATAGAGGCAGGAGAATTTATTTTTGAGTTGTCCTGTTTTTTTCTGTTGTCTCTTTAGAGAAGTAAAACCAGCTCACCCCTATTATTAAAACCTATGATGGATTTATCTTCCAAGAGACCTATAAGGTTATTGTCAGCTACTTTGCCACTGAGCCATAGCACTGCAAGTGATGATTCCAGTAGTTCCACTACTAAATATGATATTGATGGAAGGCGGTAGGTACATACATCTTTTGTATATACGATTCATACTAAACATCTCAACTATTTTGCATAGCTTTATGCATGTCTTTTAAGATTCTCATTATTTTTGTAGATCACAACTTTTCAGTTGCCCGTTAATTGAATAGAGTAATCTTCCCACGGGAGCCCATTACAGGATAATGTGTTACTAGTGGAAATTTCTTCCTAGCCTCGCTAGTTTGTATTTTGCTTATGTGTTGCAGAAGAAATTATTTCTTCTATATATATTATTAGCCTTTCCAATGCAACTATCGATGCTGTCTTTCTCCACATTAATTCTGTTTTTTAAATCTTTTGAAGTACTCTGCTATCCTGTGATACTGAGTTCCACAGAAATTCTGTGTTGTATAAAAAGTATTTCTTTGAATTATATTGAAATTTGTTTCATTAAATGTCCACTTGCTCTTGTATTATGAGACAGGTTAAAGAGTAACATTCTGTTTACCTTCTCTATATCATTCATTACTTTTTTAACCTCTCCATCATGACTTCTCTTTGTTTCCTCTCTAAGCTAAACAGTTTAAATCTTTTGTTAAATGATAATGAAACATTTTCATTCTTTATGGGTCCAGGCCAAAATCGGTGACTGACATGATTCAAGGATCTGATTTTACCCATAATAGTGAAGATGTCAAGCTTCCAGGAGATAGAAAATATACATATGCTGAGGTGCTTCCAGTAAGTAGCTCCTGAAGAACTTCCTCCTCTTAAATCTTTGGTTTAAGACATTTCATTTAATAAAATTAAACAAAGGAGAGATACTCAGTGATTATGGAAAGCATGTATAGCTAGTACCATTCAGTGATTTAATTAGAAAACTGATCATTACCACACTCTTTGCCCATAGTAATCACATGGTAATATCTGATATCTATAAATAGTAAATAACTAGTAATCTGGATACAGTGCTGGGGTAGTTACAAGTAAAAGGTGACCCTTTAATGGCAATAATATGCCTAGTAGAATAGTAAAGAGTGAATTATAACATTTGAGAAAGTGTATAAAAGTTTGAGGCATAACTTAGAAATGACTACTGCCCTAAAATACGCAGTGATGAAACAGGAATATGTTTCAGATCTAAAATTCTTCTTCACTGCTTGTACTTTTTGTTTATAAAATTACTGCCTCTAAAGCAGGGGTGTCTAACCTTTTTGAATGTGGGGCCGGATCACGAACTTTTTATCACCCCGTGGGCCAGTGAGCCATATTCAAAGACCTCACAGGAAGTGGTGTTACATCAGGGAGTGATGTCACGTGACCATTGACACCAATGAAGTTGCAGGAAGTGACAATGAAATGGGTCTGGAAATGTGCCTAGGGAAGTTGTGGTTTTCAGAAAGTATGTATGTTTGGTATGGCTTAGGAAAAGGACATCATGTTTCTGTGCAGAGGTTGGACTAGATTAGGGCTGCCCAGCTGACTACCTGCAGGCCACATGTGGCCCACAAAGGGCCAGGATGTTGCCCACAGTATACATGGGGTCTGCAAGCAGTTAATATATAGGGGCATGGGCCTGGGCAGCCACCTCTCCCACTGCTGTGCAAGGGGGAAAGGCTTGTTGGGGGTGGGGAGGAGTGGTCCGTGTCCTGCAAATGTAGCCTGCATGGCTGAGGATGGGGGTCTGCATGCTGCTGGAGCAGCCTGTGCAGTGAGGAGGTTCTAGGGGCCCACCCCCACAGCGTGCAGCCTGTGCAACACATGCTGGTGTCATCTGGGGCCCACAGCCTCACCAGATCTGAACAGGCCTGGACTAGGTTATCCTTGAGATGCTTTACTAACTTTATCATGGTCATCGTGGTTAATTAAATAGAAATTGTAGGCATGTACTGCAGAGACGTGGAAGAGATCTCAGGGATAAGCTGCCACCTCTGTAATTCCACTGCCTGCCTCCCTGCCGCCCCACCACTTATCTTCCAGCTCCGGTCCTGCTTCAGCCTGGGGCAGAGAGCACATGGTTGCTCCAGCCCCATCCTGGCCACATAGCAGCTGTTGCAGTGGCAGCAGCTTAGGCTGGGCTTTGGAGCTGAAGCTGGAGCGGAACTGCTGCATAGGTGGGTTGGAGCCAGAGCAACCATGCTCTCTGTGCCCTGGGCTGCAGTGGGGCTGAAGCCATGCCAGAAATGGAGGTGGCGCCGGAGCCAGAGTGAGAGCTGGATAGTAAGAGGTGGAAGTAAGCAAAGAGGGGAATGGGCCAGAGAAGGGGGCAGGCAGTAGCTGTGGGTCGGGTCCAGAGTTGGAGCTGCAGCAGCTGCCTGCCCCCTACTCATACTAGAATCCAAGATGAGTGGCTTCACCCCATGTTAAATGAAGGGAAAAAACCTGCCTTGGATTTGAATAAATAGAGTAATTAGGCTGAACTATATGTTATATAAAGAGGTAGTTAGCCATCTTAGTCTGAAGTCAGGCAGAAAGCAGAATCTATTTGCACCTAACTGAGAGTACGTCAAAGATGTATAGCATGAGCTTTTATAAGTGGAGGACTTACTTTATCAGATCCTGTGAAGGGACCCAAAAAAGCCACTAGTAAACTTCCCTTGGTTCAAAACACTGTAGCCTCTCTACTAACTTGAGCCAGCTATGGTGAGTAGGTAACAACAATGTATAGTGATATAGACTCCTGTACTTTGTTCCCCAGGCTCAAAGAGCTGATGGCAGAAGTGAGGACACTAAGTATTTTCACATTCCCATTCCAAAGGACCACCTGAAACATGTCTTAATCGCTTGGAATTACTTCACTATCCTGCATACCTCTTGCTCTCCATTTGTTCTTACTATACTGAGTCTTGATACTCATATAGAACAATGGAGATGGAACATTATGCACCATTTACATATGTGATACAAAATAAATGCTAGTTATCTGGAATAAACATATCCATCAAATGAGTGACATAGTCCCCTTCCCTCACCTGAGCTTATTGACATCTAAGAAAAATGTAAACTGCATTATTTTTGTTGTATATTGTTGTCTAGGGTAAAAGACCCACAGATAGCATGGTCCTAGGGGGATTTAAAATGGAAAGCATGCTGCAGTCACTTTATGTGGAGAACAAAGCAGGCTACTTCTTCACACGCTTCTGTGAGAAGTCAGGGAATAAGGTATGGAGCATTGTCCTATCTTCTGATGTTTTAGTCCACTATTGACTGAATACCAAACTATCAAGGGTGTCTGGGGAAAAAAAGACTGATGATGACTGGATGAATTCACTGTGAGGTTGCAATCCCTCACTGCAAAATGAGCTGCATATTCTGAAACCAAAGATGGGTTTTAACCAAACTGACAGATCCTAAATATCATAATTCTATATGAGATCACTGCCTTTCAGTTTGTCAGAAAGAAATAAGCCCAAATCCACAGAAACATTTAAATAATGGAATATCTACTGTGCTGTTTCTTATGACGACCTGTCTCCTTTTTGCTGGTTCTGCTAGTAATATGCAGAAGGGTGTAAATGGAGGGTGGTTGAAATGAGTCATCAACCTGAGTCAGTGCTTGCAGGTTTGGAAGAAGCAGTAAGTCTCTAAGGAAGATTGGAGTAAAGTAAGGCTGAGGACTTGTCTCAGTAGAAGGTAGTTTTATCCTGGGGCCCCTTAAAGATGTCCCTCTAGAAATACCTTTGACTGGTCCGAAAACAGTAGCCAACATTTTCACAGCTGGATGCTTTACGCTAGCTTCCTAAACTCATATTTAAATAAAAGTGGCTTGAGTTTTGCAAGGGGATTTTTATCCACAAACCCTGTACTAGCAGGTATACTCCTCCCTTGAAAATCAGTGAATTTTTATGTAGATCCTTTCCAAGCTGTGGAACTTGTTGCAGTCAGAGGTCAGGCTGTGCATAGTTCTTACAACCTACAGATTATGGTGCATTTCTTTGTTGTCATATTTTGATGCAGCCCCAGCTATGGGCTCTTGGGGCAGTTGCCAGATCTAAATCCCACAAGTACTTGATTAAAACAGAGATGGGGGGAAGATCTAGCCCCTTCTTCTGAAGTATTTTTTGATGTTTGTTTGAATCTATGACTAGGAGCTGAGACATGGTGCCTCAGAAATGCATGAAGTAAAAATGGAATGATAGTCACAATAACATGTGTCAAGTATAAAACATTTAATTGTCTCAGTTATTGCTGCAAAATGCTGTTCCACCATGGCAAAAGTTCGGCATGTCCATTATCAACATTTCTTCTTACATGCTGGCTTTATGCCACTAAAATGTGGTTACTTTTCAAATGTTAACTATAATGTTAACAATTTTAATGGCCAATTATGCACAAGGATATAATAAAAGATACAATATCATAGTGATGATGCCACGAAATATGTTGTCTTGCTGCCAGTATGCAACAGAAGATTAAATCCATCTTAAATTGAACTTGATTTATGATGACCCCAAGGAGCTAAACAATTACTTGCATTGGAAACCTCAGCTTTTATAAAGTCCTGATAATTGGGTAGCAATAACTTACATTCTTTTTCCATCTGTAGCTGTGGAAGAACAGTACGTACTTTTGGTTTGACCTACAGACTTATCATCAACATTTCTACCAAGAAACCCTTCATCCCTTTAAAATATGCAAGCAAGCTCAAGTAAGTTGTACATAATGTGTTTTCCCTTCATGAATATATTTGTTCAATTTAAATCTGTATAAAGAAGGCAGAGGAAGTTAAAGCATTCCAAAATCTCTTCAACCCACAGCAAAGGAAGTTTGAGGTTGTGGACAGTGAAGGCAGCTTTAAATTGTTACCATGGAATTGCTTGATTTAAATGCTAGCCAGGCACGGTTTGGCTCTTAGGATCTGTTTCCAGTTTTATCTATTTATTCAGTTTGCTTAATCTCCTTTTGCTACTCATTGTCAATGTTGTCTCTTCTTGGAGTATAGCCATCTCCCAGTTTTAATGCTGATAACATTATTTTGGTAAATAAGCTGGTAGAATTGTACCTTTTGTTCCTGTCTCCCATGAGGGTTAGAATTTCAAATTCTATGGGCTAGGCCTTGGTATTGAAGTTAGCCAGGAAACAAATAGTTTTCAGTCCTGTTTGTCTTTTCTTAAAATCCACCAGTTGTTACTGTCCTTATACAATTACCTACTCCCTGCTGTTCATACCCCTCATAGGCTGTAGGGTGCATACAGATACAAGTGCTTCACTGACTGTCTGCTGTAAATTAAGGAGTACTGAAAAGGACTTTTTTTTTAGGTGTAGACCATCAGTGCTGATAACTTAGTAATTGGCTGTAGAAAATTGATCAATAGTGATGTGGGGAAAGGATATAGGAATGTGCTATTGTCTTAAGTGTGCCAATCAACATTCTTGCCACTTTGATAAACCTCCATCTCTCTCTCCCTCCCCCTCCCCCCCTTTCGGGACAGCACGGCAGGGGAGGGGGGAAGGGAAGGGCATATGGTGGGGGGGCTGCAGCCACAAATTTGCTGTAGCCCCTTCCCAGTGCAGCCCTACCCCACTGGAAAGAGCTTGGTGGAGCAGGGGGCACATGCTTCCCTTCCCCACCCCCCTGCTGTGCTGTCCCGGACAAGTGGCAGGAGCAGCAGCAGGAGCTACCAGGTGAGCGGGTGAGCACTGGATGAGCTGCTGGACCAGCGGCTCCTGGCCAGGCAGCGCGCAGTGGCAGGAGCTGTTCCCCTCCCTCCACATGCGCCCTGTATGAGCTGCGGCACCACCCTGTGCCTGCTCCGCCCTGGCTGGGCAGCGCCTGCCCCAGCCCCCCTCACTGTGGGGGCCTTGATCTGCCCCCCTGCACCCCTCCTCTTCCCTTCCTTTTCCTCCCCCTTCCCCTTCCACCACACCAGACTTACCGGCTGGAGGCAGCTCTCCACACAGCCTGCATATCGGAAATCAGATCAGTATTGTCTGATGTGTATCTTAAAAATTGGCTATTGGTATCGGCCACAAAAATCTCTATCGGTGCACCCCTACTGATAACCCTCATAACTCTTCTTTACCTGTGGCAGGTTAGGGTGTTTAAATGTCTTTCTGCAGTATGCCTTGTAGTTGTACGACAAGGCTGACTGTCTGTGTAACCCTTCTGTCAAGAACAGGATGGCATCAGCAAGGGCTGAATTCCATTTACAGGTTTTATGCAAAACTTCCATCTTGGCTCAAGTCCCCACCCAGAAACCTGGGAAAATAAAAGCTGCTTAGGGTGTTCCAATGTGAACAAACCTCCCCACTCACAAGCAATATTAGCTAAACTAAAACAGGGTTTATTAAAAGTGAAGGAAATGGGACAACAAACAGTCTTAGGAAAAAACTTTTAATAGTCAGTAGGCCACCTCAACCAACTAGTAACAGTTTATCATAGTTAATGTGTTCAGAGTTCTCTCTTAGTCCCATACAAGATGAATTTGGCAGCTAATGAAGCTAGTGTAGCTACTAGTTCAACCTTTCCTCTTCCTTTACTGCCACTGGGGCATACTGCACTGCCATTGCCGCTGCTCCTCACCATCCCTACAAAACCCTGTTTCTAGCTGCTGATGCAGCCCAGCTTTCTATTACCTTGAGCAAGCTCAAGGATTTTAGCTTTTTTAGAATCTTTTAGATATAAGTCTCAACCTGATCTACTATGTGTGCTCCAAGCATTTCAGCTGTTTTAGAAACAGGTGGGTAACAAGCCTCAACCTGAACCTATTACAGAGGTTTGTACATCATGAGTACTCTTCCCTATAATGGTTGATGACAAAGTGCAATATCATCCCATAGGATAGCTCCTGGAGAGAGTTTCCCCCAAGCCTCCTTTGTCACCCCTGAGCTGAGGGTCCCCTCACCTTAGACCTCCACACAAGTCCATACTTCCCTTGGCAACCTTTGCCCCACGTTGATACCCGTATAAACTTTACAGTTTTAGAAAGGAAGGTCAGAACACACAAACCAACTCACCTATTCCTTACATTCAGACTGTTTCAATGCAGTCTAAGTGAGTCACACAGTTAATACAAGCACAAAGAGTTCCTGCTCCATTGACCATTCCTATCAATATGGATATGCAGGTAAGGGACACAGTTCCCAACTGTCTGACCAAGCACACGGATAGGGATAGACAGATAGACATCACAAAGAAGCATAGAACAACAAGATTTCTTAATAGGGTTACATGTAGTTTTAGGAATAGGTTAGACGGGGACTTGTATGGCATGGTTTATATAGAGATGATCCTGCCTTGAGCAGAGGGTTGGACTAGATGACCTCTGGAGGTCCCTTCCAGTCCTACTTTTCTATGATTCTATGATAATAAGAATTAGTAAGAACTAATACATTAAGTAATTATTATTGCCACTTTTGGCCGATGTCCAGAAAACATAAAAAGGTTTAGGGATCAGCTTCTGATGTTAACACAAACATGGGACTCAAAGGCAGCTGTGATGGACCAAAACAACCTGAGGGAGATACCAGGAAAGCAAACTAGGTGCCCTTTTGTCTGTAATTTCACCTTCCTTTATGCATGGTTTATAGGGAGATTCAGTAGCTGGGTTCCGTTAGGAAGAATTGAGTCAGAACTGTCCAACTGGTGGCTGGTGAGGGGAGGGCATGTGACCCAAGGGCCCTGGCAGCTGCCTTTCCTGTTGCCATGCAGTGGGGGAAGCCTGAGAGGTCATGTCCTGTCAGTGCTGGCTGCACAGTGCTGCCTGCAGGGGGTGCTGTGTGCCACTGGCATAGCCCATGTTGTAGGGGAGATTTGGGATGGGGGGGAGTGCCCTGGTAGCATGTGGTCAGCATGGTGTACAACCCAGGGGCTGCATACTGGCCCTGCCTGTGGCCCCCAGCTGTGCTGAAATTAGACAGCCCTGAGTTAGACTAAAGGGGCTGACTCTCATTCACTGTAGGATTACTGGTTCAGTCCTGTTAATCTCACACTAGACCTATATAAAGCCTGGTAATCTGGAAGAGTGAGGGTAGGGTAGAGTAGGGTAGGGTAGGGTAGGGTAGGGTCGGGTCACAATGCACCTATGATTTGCTGCTTTATGCCGGATCCAGATGCATGCCTCTGTTCTTCTGTGTGTCCTCATTCAAATGTTCTCATCCCTGGGTTAGAAGGAAGTGTTATAGTAACTCACAGGTAACAAACACTGAACTAGTCTAAGTGGCAATGATTTTGAGCTTTTATTTTATTCCTAAAATTCAGGAATATGATGTTTTAGAATCTGAAAAATTTGTGTCAGTGTCAGCCTTAGATCAAAATTTTCATACCTAGATACCTACATTTTTTACTTTTAGCTCCATATTTAGGCACCTAGCTATTAGAAACTCGTTTTAACCTGTTTTCCAGAGGAGCCGAGTGCCCACAAATAGCATCAAAGCTGATGAGAGCTGCTGGTACTCAGCACATTTGAAAAATCAGATCATTTTACAGGGCCGAACTTAGGGACCAAACTTCAGATTTGAAATTTTCAGTCTACTCTCATTCTTTGTTGCCCTGAATTGTGGGCTCATCATTTATATCAGTGTAAAGTGAATGTAAAACACTGCTGTTGTGATATGGTTGCATTTTATACCTACTTTGTACTCACTTTCTTCTGGAGTCAGCGGTTCCTTAGTCAGTTTTCTTTTTCTTATTTCCAGCTCTGGCCTGCTGGTGACAGCAGAACATCATAAAATCAGTATTACTAGGGAATTGCAGAAAGCTACATACACATAAGCATTAAAGTAAATACATCAAAACGAAATATGTGAAACTGTTCCATTAGCATAACTAACAGCTGAAATGTAACATAACAAATCAACACATGTGCTGCAACATTTGGTATCATTCTTGAGTTTGCCTTTTAAGGCTGCACAAAAATTATTCTTGTTTTCATTGGAACACGGAAGAGAGTCAAGCTGAATCCAGTCTAAAGGGCCTGCTTATGGAAAAGATGCCTTCCCAAATTTTGTGCTCACCTTTGGCACAATGAGACAATTATTCCAATTACTTCGAAGAGGATGCCAATGAGATTCTCATAGCACATTGTCATATTTGTTTTGCTATTTACTACTAAAAAAAGAGACCTAGAGTGTTTCATAATTATTCTGCACATAATTATTAAAAGCAAGAATAAACTTTGATCACTGTATATGCTTGTTCAGGGTTTCTTATTTCTTAGGTATTTTAATCTTAGTTTTATGATAGACTAATATGCTTTCCAGGGTGCATGACAGTATGTTCAGTGCAAGAAAATAAAGTGAGGATTTAATGTGATGCACTTGAAAAAAAAAGGGGACCAGGAATCATCCAGAAATGTATGGCTAGTAATTATTCAGAAATGTATGCAGTTATTTCACTGTAAACACACATGGTGGAGTGTAAAATGAATTGGAAAAGAAAACCAGTAAAGAAATATACGTTGCAGTCTGCTATGAAAAATAGTTATTTAGGGTTAGAAAAATGTTAGACCATTATGGGAAATACTATATTTTAATACCAGAGTCAGTTTAGATAAAGAGAGTTATCATTATCATGAACGTGTTCAGGAACAATACAAGGAATTCAGTTTTTATTTCTTTTGTGTTTTATGCATAACCCTAATTGTTCTGAGATTATATACCAGCTCGGGACAAGTTCAAACTAAAGCCCAAGACTTTGCACACTCTTGAATTCATAATCCAGATGTAGATCCTAATCTGAATTTCTGAAAAATTTGGTATCGTCAGATTTGCTCTGTTATAAATAATTTCAAGATGCACACTATGATCAGGATTCCAGATCTGGGGTTTGGTTTGGACCCATCACTAACTTTTATACATTCACAGAAAATACGTAGCTGGAAGGTAGGAAAATTCTTTCTGTTTCACTGAAGGAACAAAACCCTGAATAAATGAAGTTTAGTGTGCATAGAATTTTACATGAACAAAGATATTTTTTTCACTTTATATTCATTTGATTTAAAATGTTTTTCTTTCTTTACCATGTGCAATATAATAGTCTATTGATTATTTAGGACACTGGCCAATATAGGAATTACACTCTCCTGGTGAGAATCTTGAAGCCAGAATACTTTCCAGTGTTGCTCTTCCTAGGCATGGAGAACAAACAAGGTTACTGATAGATCCATCCTTTAAGCGGATACAATATGCTCTTCCCTCTGCTTCTGGCTGGCTCCGCTGAGCAGTGCAGAAGGTAGAAGGGTCATAATTATCAGCTCTTTTCTCTCCTTGGAGGTGACTAGCACAGTTAGAAGTGAAACCTCACAGTCCTTACATTCAGGCTGGTGTATGTCTGTAGTTGGGACTAACTCCTGCACAGGAATACTAAGGTTACTGTAGTCTTCTTTTCCCCTCTATCCCCTATGCATCTACACGGGCACTTCAGTACATTATGGTCTTATATTTTGCATGGGGGCTCTCACATCATGGTGGTGGGCATAATATAAAAAAGCAAAAGAATGCCAAATCCTCAGCTGATATAAATCCTCCAGTGGCATAAATCTCCATAGTTTCTTTGAAATCAGTGAAACCATGTCTATTTATACCAAAAGGCAATCTGGCCCTTTAGCAAGGGAAAACTGGAAGAACTCTTTTGTACCTAATTTACGCATGAAAACTATGTTGTCTGGTAAGCAGTGATGGCACAAAGTGTGCCTTTACTTATGCCCTGATTCTACAGCAAGTCTGCATGTGAAACGGAAGTGAATTGGGTAGAAGTTCCACATGAAGAGTAACTGCAGAACAAGGCTGCTGTTGCAAAAATAGTGAGTTTAGGTCCTGTAAAAAACTTATGGCAAGCATGATTACCTACGCAAACATAGATTTGGTTTTGCCCATTTCTAACCCAAAAAGAAATCTAAGCAGCTACATTTCATACACATAATAACGTCAGAGAAAGAACAGTTCCATGCAACAAATGTGATTTTTTTTTTTAAAGCCACTTTAAAATACTGCTAGCCTTTTAAAGTAGAAGCTTTAATGTATGAAATACATTAAGACATAATTTGGGTCCTCTTTGCCATTTCACAACTCCCATACGTAGTTTTATGTATTATAATAAGTGGACAAATGTAACCCTAACACTTTCTAATTTGACTTGAATAAAATGGCTAGCTCAATTTTAAGATGGCTATTTTATAGATACCACATCTTTATATGGTTGGACTGTTTCTTTTTAACTTGGCTTTTTTACATGAGAAATGTTTTGGATCAGATAAAATATGATGTAATTATAACTTTATTAGTTTTAGGGTTCTTCATAATAACTTCCAAGGTTTGACATCACTCTGTCTAGTTGGTGCTGTATCTGTTAAATTTCAATTTATTTTGGAATTATCTGAGCATGGCCTAATCTATGACAGAACTTGGTGGGTTTCTTCAGCTAATGCTCTACCTATGGGTAGAATAGGGGTGGCATAGCCATGTAGAATAGGGGTGAAATTCTGCCTGGGGATTACAGACTACAATCATTTAAAAAATCTAAATGTAGGATTCCAGTCATGAAGGCTCCTTAAGTGTTAGTGTGGAATCAGGAGATTTTAAAGAACCCCTGATAAATTTATCAAGTTATTTGGGCCCAAAATAAAATGGGGTTTTTTGTCCTTTTTTTTTTTTTTTTTCCAAATGGAGAGGCTGACCAACCCCAACGTGATAATCTTTAAAAAATGTAAACTGTTCAAATATTCCCTTTCTGTGATAGTCCCAAACATGCAAATATTTTTGCTAGTGCTTGAAAAGCAGAAGGTAAAAACTGATTGGTCAAACTGAGTGATAATAAAGAAGAGGCCTGTATTGTCGACTGATGTAAATTGTGGTAGCCCCATTGAAATTGGTGAGCTATACCAATTTATAGCTACTGAGAATATGGCTCCAAAGGTTCTATTGGTTCTTTAAATTTTATTTTTAGCTTTGATAATACAAAGTCTTGGTGATAACAAAAGTAAACTATGCTCAAAAATTATATGAATTTTACCAGAACAGTGACCCTTTTTATTCAATTTTGTAGTCCATCCAGTCAGAGTTATATAGGCCAGAAGAAATTTCTCTACTACAGGGGTGGCCAAAATATGGCCTGTTGAGGGATTCTATCCAGCCTGTGGCAGGTCCCTTGGCCCCACCTGCCCCAGGCACGGGGAGCAGCCCGGACCGTGATGCAGGCGGCCAGCTTGCCACTCCCAGGCGTGAGTCAGGGTGGGGGCAGCACAGCAGCTGGACCGGGCTCTCTGGCAGCTCCTGTGGCAGTGGCTCACTCTGCCTGGCTGCTGCTGCTAGTGTCTCTGTCCTCACTGCTGGACCTGGCCCCACTGCCTCGGCACCCTGGCCCATTTGCCCCATACCCACTGCCAAAGGCACTGGATAGAGCGGGCAGGCAGGTAGGACCTCCATGGAGACCGGCCCAGGGCCCCTAAGTGCAGGGCACACTTGGCTGGGTGGATGGTATGGGCTGTGGGGAGTGGAGTCTGGGAGTGGGGCAGGCAGGACCCTGGCCAGGATTGTGGAGTGGTGACAGCGTGGGGCTCAGGCAGAGCTGTGATCTGCTCCCTGCATGTCCCTCCCCATGGAACTGGCACCCCCACACCCCACCATGCTGGGCCAGATCAGGACTCTACAATAGCTCCCCAAAATTCCTTAAGTGGCCCTCCATCCTGAATAATTGCCCACCTCTGCTGTACTAACTGATGTTTCTGGTTTTTCCGTTTTTTTAGTGCTTGTTTTTGGGGTAAATTATGGATCATTTTGAAAAGGAAATACAGGTGTATGTCACTGTTTAAACACATCATTATAAATAAATACAAGTTTGCCTTCTCTGAAGACCTATGCTACAAAAATGAAATGCTCTTAAGACAGAAATATCTTTGGGGCTCATCTCCTGACTTCTCTATTGTCAAGTGGTAATCTCAAGAGCTTTTCTGTGATTATTTTATAAAAAGGCCATTAAAATACTTTTCTTGGGAAGACCTAAGGGCTCAGTTGTACCCTCTTATTACCTGACGTGGACCTCTGTACCATGGCAGGGTCCTACTAAAATCAGTGGGGCTCAGCACAGCAGAGGATTCTGTATTAGATTACAAAGCAAAAATGGAATTATTTTAAATTTGATTTTTATGAATTTAAACTTAATATTGAAAATGATAATCTTGCATTTTACAGACCAACCAGAACAAGAAGTAACTATCTTTTCCAAAATGTCCCAATTCATACATTTCCCCAAATTGTATATTGTGTGATAGATCAATGCATTCTGTTATTATTAAATGTTGTAGTAATAACAAACTGGAAGTCATGCACAAAAATCCATATTTGTTGCTGCTGTTGTGATTTCCTGAACATAACTCAGGATCAGCAGGTGTGCTCGTGTAGGCATTATGTTATATATGATTTTGACATCAAGGCAGCTTTTAATAAGTGGAAACAAGGAAGTCATGGAGCTGTGACAGACGCTATGAACTTTGTCTACACGTGCATTTTCATATGCCTAAACCTGATGCATCTTCACTTAAGGCAATTTAGGCATGCGTCTACACTTGGATGCGCTAATATGCATTAAGGCACACACAATTTAGGCGTGAATAGCTAAGTTGCATTAGCACATGTGCAGATGCGCATTAACATGGTGCCTGTCCATTGATGCACACCGCATTAGTGCGCATTAGCAGTTTGCTGTGCATTAGCAGTAAGCTAATGCAACTTAGCTATTTGCATAAATTTGATACCTGCTTTATGCTCAGGTATCAAATTTATGCTCGAATAGTCTAAACTTGCCATTTTTAAGGGACATTGAGGGCATGCACGTGTAGATGTGTGCCCTTAATGTACCTTAAATTGGGATAATATGCATTAAATGCACATGTGTAGACACACCCTATATTTTGGAAAAATTAATAGCATGGAAGGAATAGAAAAATAGAGCCAATGTTGGCAAGTGTGCATTTAGGATAGAAAAGCCCCAATAAGTTACCACCCCCTTCTTCAACTGACTTATTTGGTGTGGCCATTAGATTGGATGGTAATTAAGTAACTGCCTTCTTCTATTTTACTGCAGTTTCTTTATGCTACTTACATTGCTCCTTCTGCCAGTATGGGCATTGGACTACAGCAAAATAAGAAATATGAGATCTATCAGAAAATGGAACCACCTTTTGAGGATCTTTTTGACTCAGCAGAAGAATATATCCTCACTCTTCTGCTGGAACCATGGATGAAGATGGTGGAAGCAGATAAATGCATTTATAAAGAGGTAACCTAAATAGTAGGGCTGTGCAAAGCTTTGACTTGATATTCGATTCGACAAATATTAGACATATTCAACCTTGAAAAGTGAAAGTTGAGTCGAATAACAGCTGGTCGAATAGCTGTCAAATCGAATACCGGGAGTCGAATATTAACAGCGTGGGTCGAATATTCAACAAGGGTCAAATATTCAACTTGCCTATACTGGATTCCCTGTGCGGGGTGGGGGGAAGGAAAGTAAGGGGGGAGAGGAGGAAAGAGTGCTTTCATGACTGACGTGTGGCTGGCCAGTGACCTGTCAGCAGTCTCTGAGGTCCCTTCCAATCCCAGTGCTCTGGGGGAGGGCCAGAGAAAATGTATAAAAGGCAGCAGTTTTTCAGCTCCCCTGCTTTCTGCCTTGGGGTCAGTTTCTGAGCTGCTGGTGTTCTCCAGCACCTCTGCATCAGACCATGACGGCTGGAAGCCCTGATCTTCAGCAGATTCCCTGCTTGCAACACTAGCAACAGGGATTTCTGAGAACTTGGTGCTTTTATTTTATAACTACTTTTCATATTAGTTTACGCTTATATTGGATAGGGTTAGTAGTAGCCTAGGATCTATTCTATATATAGGAATTTAGTTTATATATATATATATATTTTATACATCATTCATTCTTTCCACCACATCAACACTTCTCAATATATCATCTACACACACAAACACATTTACATAACATCCAGAAATCTAATCTGCAGCACACAGCACACTTAGAGGTTCCAGTTTACATACGAAGGAACACATTATGAAGCGGGGTGGAAAGGCAGGTGGCCACACTGGCCAGCCTGCACGATGGGGAGCAAGGGAGGTTGCAAGTGGGAGAGCTGCAGTTTCTCCCCCCACCAAACTCAGATGCAGCCTCTTTCCTCCCGCTACAAGGGATGGGGCTGCTACAAGCAGTAAAGAGAGGGGAGCAGCAGTGCCACCAGAGCCACTGCCTGTGCCTGAGACTCTCATGTCCAGGCACAGCAGCCACAACCTCTCCCACCATAACTGCAACCAGCACAGCAGCGCACTCCACCCCTGTGTCACTGCCTATGCTGAACCTTCCAGCGCCAGAAGAAGAGCTGGCGCTGGATCTAGATCTCAGTGTCCTGGCAAGGGAAGTTCTGGGAGAGGTGGGGGAATCAGTCGAGTTTGTGCTCAACACCACTCAGGTTTTTTCCTTTCAAGCCACGAGGTCTTTCCCAGAAGGCACTTCAGAAGGTGCCTCTGTACAGATGAAGGCAAGCGGCTCAGCTGAGTCCGCTCTTCCTCTTGCTGTGCCTCTGACTGCTGAAGAGGGGGAGAGTTCAGCAGCATCCACAGATGCACC